TTCCCCATTGATTTCAGTGGAGTGCGGACTTCACCTGCACATTTATATAGATACTGAAAACTCTAAATCATTTAAAATACCAAAAAGAACTGCTGGATGTCCAGCCTGACATATCTGCCAACGGAGAACAATGAGAATTGTGGCAAAAGCTGACAAGATTGGACGTGGCACATTGCCACAGACAATCACGATCAATGAAATTCCATCTACTTGCCTTTAAAGCTACTGCGTGCTTCCCCACCTAATAAATCACACAGTCGAAGTTCCCGTTGATCTACGTATCAGAGCTACGATAAACCATATGCCAAACCAGGCAAGTTATTTATGACCCTGCTGTGGACAATAATGTATAGAGCCAGATTTTATAAAGAGCAAAACAAACCCAGCCCTGACTCTCAAAAGATCGTGGCACATTATTAAATTGTGTAATTAATCACGTCAGTTGCGCAGCCACACAGAGAGGTTTTTTCAGTTTGTGGAATTTCAGTTATAGAGGGCTTTTTTTTATGCTCAAACCTACGCAGCAACAATTTCTGAGCAGCAAATGTGAGATAAATTGCGTGACTGTTTGGTTTACTGAAGGGAGTCTTTTTATCATATGGAACAAAATGTAATCGGATTCTGTTTGAGTGCTCTAACCTGCTCCATGCAGAGGCTGCTAGTAAATTGTATCACAGAGCTACAGGCTAAAAACTAACAAACATAAATGAATAAATAAAGAAAGGCCTGTTAGCAGTGAATTCAAATTTCCTGGACTTTCTAGAAAAATAAGAGTTGAGGCATTTACTGTGTAAAAAAGTGGTCTTGTGATTAAGGTATCAGACTGGGAAAGCTGGGTTCAGTATGTAACTTTATCATGAACTTTTTGGATGACAGACAAATCACTTAATCTGTGTCTCAGTTCTTCATCTTTATAATGAGGATAATATTTTCCATCATGTCTAATTCAACTGCAAGCTCTTTGGGACAGGGTCTGCCTATTAGGTGATGTATTTGTGCTTCCTAGCACAATCCAACTTGGGATGGCCTCAGTGTATTGTAATACAAATTAAGAGTACAGGGCATCCTCCCTATATGTACAAGATATGTTCAAAAAAATGTGGATGAAGAATGAAAGAACGTAAAGC